TTGATAAGCATTTGTCTTGCGTGTTTTATTTTTACACAGCCAACTGTAATCAGTGTCTTGGCTCAGAATGATTCATTAACACATGCGTTTGATTTAGTTAAAAACTTATTGAAGTACTCAAATGCATGCCGCCTCCCTCAGAATTATATGACCATAGACTGGTTTATATTCCCATATTGGTGTCTTGTTGTCGTTTCTGTAGTGATATTTTGTCCCTGTATTATGCTGCATACAGACTAGACTAGAAATCATAAATGTAACATTTGTGATTTATGTGACTCATGGAGAGAAGCGGCAAAGGAAATTGCATCAAAACTTCATTAATTGTCGAAATGCGCATCTGGTGCAGTAAAATTAGTACCTTTTAATTTATTGATATTGTGTAATGACACGGTGTTAATGATGACAAAGTATTAATGATATCATTATCAGCAAGTAAAAGTTATTCAGTTAAAGGGACATTAGCTACGAGAAATATATAAAACAAAACAAAAAAACAAAAACAAATATGATTTTTTTTTATTCAATCATTAATGAAAGTCAAATAGTGAAATAATAATTCGCTTTTAGCAGCCAGTTTGGTTCAGTTTTGTCAAAATAAAGCTAAGAAACATCGCTGATGAATTATTCACTTGCAAGTGATTAATTCGACCTCATTCAATCCGTATTCATGTGACCTTCAATTTAACCCCTTAGCTAGAGATGGGTTACGCATGAACTAGGCCGTTCAGTTATTAAAAGGAAAAGAATGTCAACATTGACACTGAAGCAATGGTAAACCATTTAGTTGACTGATTTGATCCACAAAAGCTCATTCTTATATAGGTAAAACGATGATTAACATATGTTTTTAACCTATAATATGAAATCAAACAGACCTTGAAAAATCCAATTGCACGTGTTTAATATCTATTTATGTCTATATCTATGTTTATATCGGGTTACATGACCGTCGGCAGTCTTCGGAGGTCACCTCGATGGTTAATTAGATGGCGTCCAGACTAAAATGCATACGAAATGCTGATACATATTACCGAGTACATGCATCGTAAATTGTTTATCTAAAATATAATTGAATATACGTTTTAGTATGTTATAAACCAAATATGAGAATTTGAGTCAAATTGGTGAACATGACTTTGACAGCTAATGCCCCTTTAAACTAATGTTTATATCAATTTTTTTTAATGTTGTAATCACTTGCACAGGTATCTAATTTTGCGAGTTGAGAAGTTAACTAGTTTATCTTATGTTTTTGGTATCAGACTAGATCATATTATGGATAGATAGGATATCAAACTTTGGGTACACTACGACCAGTATCTTAATGTGTTAATCGTCAGTATACGTACAGGTTAGATAATATTTAATATTGTGATGTGATATATTTATTCAAAGTAATTTTTCGGTTTTGGGAGCTAGTGATTTTTACAGATAGCTAAAATTGCCACTTGAAAAAAATTGTAGCCATAAATGGATTAAACGAATAATTTAATCTCTAATGTTTATGCAAGCTCTGTTCATATTATTTTTATGTTTCATTATTTGCGTTGACGTGCTAGCTAAAAAAGTTAAAGTTCACAGACAGACACGCTATCTTACCCCAGCACATTATGCGTGCTCCAAGTCAGCATGATTTGCAATCAAACCTATATATAGAAACAAGGAAATCCGGTATGGTTGACAACGAGACAATTATCCACCAGAGTTCAAATGACCACATTTCTCCGAGAAAGCATATTTGATAAAAAGTATAATACGATACCATGTATTTGACATAAAATTCTACGTTAAATGATATATGAATGGAATCATTTGCCACAATACGTAGAACAAAGTGATACAAACACACATACTTTAGTCTTGAATACATGATTTTTTCATTAGTACATATTGGCTTTGAACTTGCTTTCAGTAACTGCGAGTACTTTGCATTTTATCGATCGGATTAGTAATGCAATTTTCAACTGATATTTTGTTTTCCTTATGCTGCACTGTAACACCACTGTCCCAGTTTAGGAGAGGGGGTTGGGGGGGGGGGGGGGGGGGGCGTATTGCGGATAACCAGCATATAACATCAGATGTTCAGTTGATATTCAAACATCATAAACGATATCTAAGATTAATTGGTGGTCAATTATAGGTTTTTTTAATTGATAATCTTTAATTAAGGTTGGTTATCTCTCCAAAAGTATGTCATTACCAGGAAATATTTTTGTTAATTTCATTATTACTTATAACAGATGTACATCAGAGTCATACACATACAACTTTAGATATCATTTTATGCATTTTTATAGTGCGTCAAAGATTTAAAACACAACGTTTATCTTCAAATATTTACATTTATTTGTTGACTATAGTTTCATTGGTACCTGACTCCGATATGTTGTTAACTTTTATTAATTTGTGTAATCATTGACAAATACCATATAAAAGTATACTCCACGTTGGCAACGTTTTCTTGTAATCTTTTTTTTACGAAAGAATAAAAACACTGCATACAAATGGTAATTAGAATATACGTAAAGGATATGACACAAGATGTATTTCAAATAAAACAAGATAGGTTTCCTGACAAACAAGGGGAAGCGTAGACAGATAACACTTAAACTATAGGCTCTGACAGTGCGATCTTCTCAAAAGGTATAAAGGGATACTTGGTACTTCTCAAGAGTACGAATATCTTGCCGTAGATGCCACGCCAGCCATATAGTAGTCCAAGTCGATAATTGGCCAAATATAAAAACGGTATATGTCAGTTGTATGACAAATACGCACTTAGGGTTATATGTCCATGATCGATTGACCTGATCATGTTTACAATTGACCAAACAAAAATGAATTTTTGAAGTTTTTTTTTATAATTTCAACATTTAAGACATTAACTAGTAAGAGTTTTACTGCAACAGAGGCGCATTTCGACAATAAATGTCTCTTCACTGATTCTCGAGGCCATAATATTTAAAATCGCAAACCTAATAAATGTACTAACGTTAAATGCCTAAAAACAAAAAAAAAAAAGACACAAAGTAAAGCCAAATCTGAACAAGAATCAGAGTTATGCAAGCGGGAGATACATTCATTAATTCAATCTTATTTCGATATTTCATAACAGGCAATATAACTGGGCTATGTATACTCTCTGGCATTAACAGTCCACTAGCAGAGAAATCGACCCAGAGGTAGATATAACATTTAAGGTACCAATGTTACTGCACCAGATGTGCATTTCAAAAATTATAATATAACATTTGATTAAGTAGAAAAACTAAACAAATAGTTAAACAATTAACGAGTGCTCTTTACTTGCTTATTTATGACAATAACACATAAACTATAAAAGTTCAGCAAATTTGATTAACATTAAAAGATCATGTAAGTATATCTATATCGATCAATTGGCCCTTTTGGGTCGATAGAGAAATGACAATTTAGACAGTGCAGACAATACGTTCAAAGATTGACATCGCCAGATACGCCAAGAAATGTAGTGTGTATCAGAAATTTTCTGAAACTGACGTTATATATGACAGACATCATATTCAGGAAACACTTGTTCTAGTTATTCGATAATTGTCTCCACAAATAAGCATCATTGCAGAACATTTATGTACGAATATTGTTGTGACAGCAGTCGGACATTTCATCGAATACATCTTTTTATCTTTGAAATCTGATAGGATTTTGTTAAAAAACATTTAAATTTGAAACAGCAAATTTTATGCACTCTCATAAAATATTTTTTGATGATCAAGTTATTATCTAATTGCTCAATTTGATTTATCGAATTATTCTATATACTCAACACGACGGGTATTTCATGTGTAGCAGGATTTGGTTACCCTTTTGCAACACCTGAGATCACCCCCGGTGTTTTGGATGGGTTCATGTTACTCAGATTGAAATGGGACGTTAAATCATGTACCCCCCTGTTCTGACAGTGCCAGGTATTCTGCATGTTCAAATTCTTCATCAGCATGTCTTTGATCAATATGAAGCTGACTTTTTCCAAGGCAAATTTTCAGTCCAATTTCGTACATGCATTTCTTTTCGCAATTGAAATAAAAACGCCCTACTTCATCCGGGTAAGTTAAACAGTACTTGTTTTAAGCTTATCCGGAACATCCACAGAATATTTGTCACTTGTCTTTAAGCAAACAATAATGAACTAATCTATGAATTTCTGAAGTATATAATGTCTACTTTTAAAAGCAGCAAACGTTGGCAGAGTTTACTATCATTGGTTCTCTATTGTTTTTGGTCATTATTAGATACGAGTGTGCAATTAGATTAAAGTGTATTAACATAACTAGCTTTGCAAATACAAAAAAATGAAATAAAATAAAATCTTCCCTTTTACACATGTTTTTCCTCAGGGTGAATGCAAATCTTGGCATTTGATTGCATTTGGCTAATGGCGTAACATGTAGAGTTTTATTACAGTTTGTTATAGTTCACATTTAATAACATGGTCCCAATGCAACAATTCGTTAACAGCAGCACATATTCAGGGTGTTATGAAATCATATTTTAACAAATTTTGTGGGACTGAAATAATATCATTGGTATATTATTTGAAGGAAATTTTTGTGAGTAAAATAGAGAAACATTAATTAGAAATTGTCATATTATTACGTTTTCTCCCTTTGTGTTCTTGTTTTGTTTTGTTCCGTCCTCTGTTTCTTTTTGTGACAGTCTCGTTGCTGTGAACTACTTGTATCAGTTCAAGAGGGTAGAATGGGTCAACATTGAGTCTCAATATATTAATGTGACATGTAATTGTTCCCTGTCGAAATATAAGTGTAAAGTTTAAATTATATAATATTGTTTCTCTTTCACCAGACTGTCTATCACATACGATATTTAAAATAGATTAAACGAACTTATTGATTGATAAACAGAATGTCAGAGTGTGTTTTAGCACGCAATGATATCATTATAATATCAAATGACTCTTTGTTATTATTTGAAGTACTGAACGCCAGACGAAATCAAAAGTTAATATTTGTTAATTTACCTACCAATTCAATTATAAGGAATATTTGTGAGGACCAAAATGAGAATACTATATATCAGCTTACTGTTCAGTACTTTCTTAGCCGTTTACGGGATAGATAGTTGTCGAAACGTAGGTAAGTAGCTAATTTTTTTTCTCACATGTTTTCGATTTACTTTCTTTTCCCGTCAATTTGCACATTTCAATTAGTTCAAAACGGAAGAGTTCTTCTTCATTCAAAGACCTGCCACCTGGTGTCTTTAACGTTAACTTCAAAACATTCCTGGTTTTGTGAAAAATTTATTGTGTCAAAAGTTTAATATTTACTTACTGTTTAGACTTGTTTACTGTGTTTTGCCAACCTGTTTTAGTTCGATTGGCACTCCCTATCACGATTTCCTATTATGGTTTCCTTCGTAGAAGTTTATTGTTGACAAGAATGAAGTTATCAATTAAGAGTTCTAAGTGGTGATATGTTCAAATTGTCGTATTTACAATCCCGTCCTCTTTTCCGCGAATGTTACATCACTGAATTTGTACTTACATGAGCAGTACCAGGAGTGCAAGATGTGGAGTAGGATCTGGTTTCCCTTCCAGAGAACCTGAGATCACACCAGTTTTTGGTGGGATTCGTGTTGCCCAGACCTTAGTTTTCTTTGTTGTGTTTTACTGTTATTTGTATTTTGTCGTTTTTTGTTCTTTCGTTAGTTTGTGAACGACTTAAAGTGAGTTTAGGTATTCCTTTGGTATCTTTCACCACTCTTTTATAATGTTATATCTACCAGCATTGCTTATGATAACGCTCTGAATCTTTGTTATGTTTTTGTATTGTGCTTTAATTGTAGAGGTTATAGACGAAAATTTACAATAGTGTATTAACAATCACCTTATTTTAGGTAAAGCAAAGGAAACAGTAGTAGCGGCAATTAATACATTGCAGAGGACAGGCTGCTTGGAGAGAGTAAGTTTTAGTAAGATGATTTTGATAGAAGTAAAATCAGAATAGACATGTTTAAAAAAAAAGTAAAATAACAAAACTACCGAGCTCCCAGGGAAATTAAAAACGGAAAGTCCTTTATAAAGCTCGAACACATACGAATGGAAAACAACTGTGATATTCCTGACTTGGTACAGACATGTCCGTATGTAGAAAATGGTGGATTAAACCTGGTTTTATAGGTAGCTAAACCTTTCACTTGAATGTCAGTCGTTAACCACTTCGAAAATGTGAGAGAATGAGCAGCTTGAAATTATTCCAATGATTGTTTATAGAAATATGAGGCCGTGTGCGTCGACAGGGTGAGTGACTTTTGCTATGGAAGTATAAACCGTTATGCGAATCCATACCCTGTCTAAATTTCATAATTGTAAATGGAATATAATAATTAAGACCTCTCAATCATTAAAAACAATTTAGAATACGTAAATGGAAATATTGGATAAGTATCATCAGTTATTGAGACGAAAATGTAAACACATTTGATAAATTAGATAAAGGATGTATAGATACCACGGCAACTCAAAATTAAAACAAAGAAAGATAACCATCGTAAAATCAGTTGAAAACCTGGATACACCAATATATGAATAAATAGATTGTACAACGATTGATTTTTTTTATAGCTGGTTCTGTGATCTCTTCAATTGAAGTTGCCTTTCATGCAAGATTGAAACCGTATGTAAACCTTGGTTCTACACAGACAGTTATTTTCGATCAAGTGATTACCAACATTGGTAAAGGCTATAACCAACATACGGGTCATTTCACAGCACCTGACGATGGAATTTATTTCTTTGCCTGTACATTTCTAAGATCATCTACTGCAACTCAATTACATCTTCAAATGGTTCAAAATAGCAGCGAAATATCACGTGGACATGCGGCAAGAGGTGGAGGATCACAGGCAGGGTCAATGAAAAAAGTAGTATATATGTATAAGGGAGACGTTGTGAAAGTACGTCATTACCCTGGAGTAGGATCGGAAATAATACATGGCGATTGGAGTTTCTTGACGGGTTACCGTATCTAAAATGTCACTATTAAAGCTTTGAACAGCAATCTCGTTTATATATTTAATATAAATGAAGGTGCCCAATTTTAACAAAGTTACATTTTCTACGTTTGAATGATTTTTTTTAAACGAAAACTATGTGTAAATCTTTTCTGTCGATTATAACCAAAACAAACATAGCATATCATGATCAGAAACCATTAAAAACTACTTAACAGTACAACAGACCCCAACAACACCGGCTTGTCCTTTTTTTTTTAGCATAATGTATATGCATAGACAATATCAACGACTGACACATTATCCCAATAGCCCTACTTAGTACTTAGCAAACACTTTGATGGGTTTATGATATAGAACCACTAATTTGGGCCCGGTCACAAAGAACATACAAGAAAGCAGTACATATTTTAAACAAAATTATTTCTACTCATAGCTGTAACTTTGTCAAAATTAAACCTTTGAATAATTTTAGTATCAAATGAAAGCTCAAAGTCTAGGGATCACTGTAAAATTCTTGTCGAAAGTTTCTATTAAATATAAAATAAATATATGACAAGATAAGAGGGCATATTTTTTCTGTTGCTCTGATCAGAAGTGCCTGTTTTATACTACCCACATTCGGGGAACCAGTGCGCTCTTATATGCAATTAGAGGTATGCTGAAATTTTCAGTACAAGTCAGGATACTGTATACTTCTGTTATGAAATGACTGCCACTACATTTGAGACTTAAGACAGTATAGCTATAAATGCTTGAAATTATATAATTCAACACAAAAAGCAATGTAGCGATGACTTAGTGGTTTTATTCCTGAACACAGATTTAAGTTGCCAGTGACTTCCCTGTTTGTCTATAGAACATAAGTCGAAAACTAATACATACACTCAAATTTTTTGCGCCATCCGACATGATGGTAACTAAGCTATACAATATCAAAAATACAGCACATACGTTGGGGCGCTGGGTTATAATATTCTTGCAGCTACATGATTCTTGTTAAGGTAGCTACATCTGTTGGTTAGATACTGCCGCTTAACAAAAACAGGAACATCAATATAAACAGTATATAATAGAAAAACAAAGGATATCCATCCATGAGACAAAATCAATACATGCACAGCAAAAAACACAATAAGCAAAGGGACAGCACTTTTATTGCTGTTCTTTATCTCAAAGTCACAGTGAGGCCTTCAACACGGAGCATTTATTGTACCTACCTTAATTCACTTGAGTATGTATACTCTTACACATTTATAATATAAAGTTCAACAACTGCAATAAACCTTCGAAAATTGTTGCCAACAGCAGTTGTAAGCAATTTTATAGGGGGAAAAAGTACGCAACGGAAATAATTAGTAAGAGAAACTTGGATTTTCAATTAAATTTGTTTACCAATTGTGTATTTTTCTTTGAAATGTTTACATAAATGAAACCTGTTTTGTTTACAGTTAAGCTCAATGTTATTATTTTTGAAGCAAGAAGCCTTGATAGTTAACGTAGTGACTTAAATCAATAGGGTTCTACTTCTCTTAATATGTAATCATATGTCTAAGTAAAGATGCAATACACTGTTCAGACTTGGGATTATCTCTCTAGAAAACAAAATTCAATGGACGATAAATGTGTTCCCAGATCACATTATTTTATCCGCAATTGTTTTACTCAATCTTCTGTTTTCTTTGTAGTAGTTATTTTTTGGTTGCTTTTTTGTATTTTCTTTTTTTTTGTGGAGGAGTTGTTTGGTCTAATTGTTGTTCATTTTATTTTCCTAAAAGGCATGACTTATAGTCGATACTGTCATTGCAACAGTAATTTTGTTTTCAATACTCAAGCGGAAGTTTTTACTTCTTCAATCTATAGTAATCACGTCATTTCAACTGCAGACAAGCCACTACGCTCAACTTTATTAACACATATGATTGAAAAGAGGACAAAGCGAAGATCCATCTGGCGGCCCATGCGTGGCAGTGTCCCAGCCGTTGGGGACAGTGGGCTACTGAGGTTAAGGTGTTGAGTTGAGGTTAGAGAAGTTAAATGAAAAATGCTTGGAAAATTAATGAATATTTTGAATGGCAAATGATATATGTCAAAAGGTTCATTTGTTGAGTTCTTTTCTCTGTCGTTGAAATATTGAAGGTGTGCCACATGTGGAGTAGGATCTGCTTACCCTTTTGGAGCACCTGAGATCACTTCCAGTTTTTGGTGGGGTTCATGTTGCTTAGTCTTTAGTTTTCTATGTTGTGTCTTCTGTACTATTATTTGTCTGTTTGTCTTTTTATTTTTAGCCATGGCGTTGTCAGTTTATTTTCAATCTATGAGTTTGACTGTCCTTCTGGTATCTTTCATCCCTCTTTTATGTTTTTTTTTTTAATCTTGACTGAAGTTTAATGTGTCTGCATGCTGTCTTTTACGGATTATGCATAGACGGGTTCAGAAAATAAAGAACACTATTACAGAAATCAAACCAATCATCTATATACCACGATTATACAATTCTATAATCTACTACTTAAACTGTACGGGTGTGAGGGCTTAAGAGCCCGGAGGGATGGACGAATGATATTTATCAACGAAACAAATAATTGTGTTTTGGTTCCAGGGATATAATTCTTATTATAACATTGAAGACTAGCACGACATCTTAAATAATCGAGACGTAGTCCTGGCTTCTTTCTGAACATAATTTATAACTTTATCTTTGCCATACACACTAATAATTATGGTTTTCCATTATAAATGATGGGTATAGGAACACCTAATGATCAACGTATAAAATAATGTAAACAACACTTCATAAATTTTATCAGTCCGAAGTGCTATTTCCGTAAGTACGAACAAATAGACAAAGGACTTCTAATTAAATGCAAATATGACGAAATGTATTTTGATAAAATGAGAAATATATTACCCTTTTACAAAGATTAAGATACACATTTGTTTTTCATGGGACTTTATAATTATTAACGTTTTACATCCAAACTAGCAAAATCAGCACGTTAGGTTAGCATACGGAGTTTCATTTAACAATCACGAGATTATTCGTTATGTAAAGACGACATGCTGAGAGAAAAGAAAGGAACGAGGCCTATAAATTGATTAATTTACATTAAATACAATATGG